CTGAACTCTTAATAGTTTTTCAGCAATTCCTTTGTTTTCCAGGTATTCAGTCACAAAAATATATATACATTTTTTTTCTCAGTATAATTGTCCCTTCTTTCAATCTGTAGACTATTATATAGCTTTTGATTTTTTTTTTTTTTTTAGCTTTTGGTAAGTTAGACTAGTAAAAAAAAATTTCAGCTCTAAAGAATATAAGAATATAAAGATTCAGGGTAAAGTGTACAGATAAAATCTATTGCTATAGTTTAGGTGTGATCAGGGTTGACATTTCAAATATTTGGCAGCCTATGGTGGGCCATCCCCAATCTGAATGAATATAAAAAATTACAGATCATACCCTGGCGAGTACCCTCTACCGGTACTTATCAGTCTTGGTATGTGATTTGTTAATGGCCTTACATAATCTGAGGAAATAAAAATGAAAGCCTATATCTGAAAGATATTTTAGTCATTTTATTGTATTCATCAATGTGGAAATAAAAAATATCTTCAAACCAGAAGGTGGTAGTCTAATTTATAGTAAGTGATCTACATTAAAATCTATTAAAATCAGTTCTCCAATTGAATAGTTAGAAAAGAGAAAATAACCCATGCTGTTAGTCATTTGTAAGGCATTTTGGTAAGGTAGACTCAAGAGAAATTGGCAGGAATTTTAATTTCCTACAGTATTCTCACTGGATAACAATTAAATCATATCCTTTTTGTCCACTGACATGTACACTATGTCCAGCAACCCTGTGGCTAGACTCATAATATAAATATAAGTACTTATCAAATTAGAACTTAAATTGTACCCCATTTATTGATGCTTGTACTCATATTATTTCGTACATTTCCTTCAAAAGAGCTCCAGGTTTACTTTGATCATTCATAGACCATTTTGCCCATTTAAAGTGTCTGTTAGTATTTTCATAGTTGTGTAACCATAATGGTCATTAATTTGACAATATTTTCCTCACCTCATCCCCCCAGAAAAGCTCATACCAGTTCTGTTACTTTTTTATTCTCCCACCTCTGGCTCCCTAACCAGACAACCACTAATCTATTTTATGCCTTTAAAGATTTCTTGTAAAGGAAATTATAGAATAAGTAGTCTAATGTGACTGGCTTCTTTCACTTAGTACACCATTTTTGTGGTTCATCCATGTTTTAGCTTATTATCAGTACTTCATTCTTTTTTACGACTAAAACATATTCCATTGTATAGATGTACCACAATACATTCATCCATTCACCCGCTGGTTGATATTTGAGCTATTTCTGCTTTTGGCTATTATGAATAAAACTTCAATGAACATGTATATCCATGTGGATATACATTTTCATTTATCTTGGGTATGGACCTACCAGTGGACTTGCTTTGTCAAGTGGTAATTATATATTTAAAATTTTGAAAAACTGCCAGACTCTTTTCTAAAACAGTTGCACTATTTTATGTTCCCACCAGCAATATGTGAGTGTTCCACTTCTTTGCTGAAACTTATTATCTTTTTAAATTACAGTCATCATAATGGATGTGATATATGACTTTGATTTCCATTTCTGTGATGGCTGATAATATCAAACATGTTTTATGTTTTATCAACCATTTGTATACCCTCATTAGTACCTGGGTTGAAAATTGAGCCTGCCTCCCTGTCTTTAGATCCTACAGACAAAATTAGGATGCTTTACACTACTCATATAGTTTTAAACAACAAACCTTCTGATAACTTCATTGCTTTAGTAAATAAACCAATGAGTAAGAAAATAGGATACTTTCGAGAGGAGAGGCCATTATGACGCTTTGAAGTTATAGAAAATATCCTGTTAATTTTGCTGTAGGATTTAATATGCGACTGCTGTTCCAGCCAGGTGAATGACCATGTTTTGTACTTGTAGCTCCTTCCCAAGAACATCTTCATTGCCTTTCCCATTTTGTAAGCTCTTCTCTGGAACATTGTAAAAACAAGAAGGAGCTGTTGTACCTTTTTCAGTGGTATTGAGATGAAGGGTGTTCTCTCTAGGAAGTCCTCTGGGTAGCTGAGTTGTTGTTCTGTCTGAGTTGTTGTTCGTGTCAGTGTGCCAGGCTGGTAGGATCAATTTCCTTGTCCAGTTCTGTGGAAATTAGAATCTAGGAAATTAACTAGAGCCATGGTTCTGAGTTATTTGCCTGACTTGTATTTTTTAATGAGCTGACCTCCTCTTCTTACCTCTACAAAAACACTTCAGGACCTCATTCATGCTTAACCAAACCTAATTCCCAGTTCAAAGGAGGATGGAGGGAAGGGACCTCTCTCTCTCTCTCTCTTTTTTTTTTTAAATAAGTGCATGGAATGAAGTTGTAGTATTTTTACTTGGTTATGCATCACACTTTCAATATAATTATTTTGCTGAGGTAGAAAGTATGGAGTTGAAAAAATAACACATTTATTTTATTTATTTATTTAAATTATGCCCATTTTACATTCTTGAATTCAAAAGGATGTTTAATTCTGTTTAATATTTTAGGATTGGTTGACTGGATAGATAAGCATTTTACTTTAATTTTCAAACTGCATAATTATCTCCCAGGACCAATAACTCAAAGTTCTTATTTTACCTGTTCAACTGATTCAGGAACCTTAATGTTTGAACACACACACATCCACACACACACACATACACACACACACACACACAATCTGACATTGTGTGAAATAATCATAAAAATGATATAAATGTCTTAATGTTATCTCAACTAAAATATTTTTCATCATTTTTAACTTTACATGTCTTTAATTAGCTATTCATTAATAACAAGTGCAATTTATATAAAGAATTAGATATCTTTTTGAGAAAAAGTGTATTACTGAAATACTTTAAAGTGTAGCACCAGATTATGATTAAGTATACAGTCAGGTTGTCATTTATTACAAAAATAAAACAAAAGAGATTGTACCTGGACAATGAGGTGTATTATGTAATCTAGTAAACCTAGACCTATGTCAGCCATGGTAAAGGAGAGTCTGCTTTCATCTCAGTGGTGATAACAAGTGTTTTTTCCTGATGTGGCAGGGAAAATGTGGCCATGAAGATCTGTCAAAAGAGGCGGAAGATTCAGAATAAGGGTAGATGAATGATTGTGATCTACATGAATTTTTTCACAGCTGCGCCATTTCTCTGTTTGTGAATAGTGAAAGAGCATAATGCTGCTTACACTACTAATAGAGTAAGCTTCATTTCTAACATGGTATGAAAGTGCAAAAAATACAGTGGAAGGGATGATTTTTTTTTAATTAATAATTGAAATACCTTTAACCATTTTCAATCTCCCACCTACTCACCTCAAGTAAGAAAACAATATGATCCACATAAAAAGAGTTTTACAGATTTTATTGTGATTGTGTTTAATAATTTTTTCCCATCATCTCTGGTCTAAGTTTCCATACTAATCACCCACATTAATTTCTTGTAAATTGTTTTGTTGAATGTGAGAGGAGGCCACTCACAGCAAATTACTGGTTATACAATTCATGTAGAGTCATACAAGATGAAACTAATGAGTCATTTGTTTGATTCTAGCTTTGTGTAGATTGAGAATTGGTGATAGGGGCTATAAACCCATCTCTAAATGGTAGTGCCAAAGAATATAGGCTTTTGGAGGTAGATTAACCTAAAATCGTTCTTTAACTCTATCAGTCCTGTGACCGTGGGTTTCAGTTTCCTTTTTAGGAAAAGAAGAGCAGTAAAACAAGTATCACCGCAAAGCTTTACAGATAAAGTATTGCATGCAAAATAGTACCATTCCTAGAAGAAAGACAGTGCCCAATAGATGGTAGCTAATAACTACATTGTTAGTGGATTTTTCTCTGTTGTGTATAGAAAAAAACTGACAAAACTTAATCACATTAAAGATATCCAGTTCAAAAGACTTTAATATTGTTTTGCACTGTCACTAAGTTCTGTTAACCATCAAACTAAATATTTACCCATCTTAAACCTGAAAATAACCCTCTCTATATACCTAACTTTAGAAGAGCTGAATAATTCCCTTTAGAGATTCCTTGAGAGAAATACATTTGAAAAGCTCTGCTTGTTACAATGTTAATTTCTTAGCATGACTGCCAGAGCTATATATATCCTTCCTGAAATTAAACATGCTAAGAGTAATAACTCTGAGGAAAACAGACAACACAAAGGAAAAACTATAATAATTTGGTTATACTAAAAACGGTACTCAAAACACCTCTGAAAAATAACACAGCTATCTTGTATTATCCTAGTAATTGGGAACACAATTTAAGAAATAATTACTCTTTTTCACATTGTCACTTTTATGTACTGGAGTCTGTGTACTACCATTTATCTTTTCTGACAACACTTAAAGTATACGTTAGCTGGTAATTAATTTCATTTTCTTTTACTTTTATATCACATTAGTTGAATAGAATCAAAGAACTTACTACAGTAACTTATTAAAACATTCTCTACCATTGTTTAATGGAAGTGTGGTGTTGGACTTGGCTTTTCAATACTGTCGTAGTTTTTGATGTGTTTACTTTTCTTTGACATCTTCAGATATAGTATCAGGATAAAATTCATTATGATTATACCTCAGTGGGAACCTCAACATATGATTTTCAAAAGCATCTGTAAATTATTGCACAGTAGATACTTTTTGAAAATTAATGATTAAGACATGAACAAAAGAGACACTTTTTCTTAAATAAAAATCAATTCCTTAATTGAGGGCTTTTTTCTTGCGGGGGTGGTGGGACGATTCAGACTTTAATGACATGATTTTGCAAAAATTGCTCTTGTGACAAATACACCAGTTCATAACTCAGTTTTGCTGTGTATAATCAGCTATCAATTGTAGGCATCAAAATTATTATGTTTTTATTCCAGAGAATTTGTGAAGAAATTATTGCTAAAATAACATGTAGATATATGAATGTATCTTAAATGTCTTTTCTGTCCAGAAACTGTCTTTTGTAGATAAAAGTGTAAATTTATTATTTTCTTTCTCCCATCAGATGTGGGCTCTGTTGAAGGACTTGCCTATCACAGGGCTTGGGATACACTGTACTGGACCAGCTCCACTACCTCATCCATCACCAGACACACAGTGGACCAGACACGGCCAGGAGCATTTGACAGGGAAGCAGTCATTACCATGTCAGAGGATGACCACCCACATGTGCTAGCCCTGGATGAATGCCAAAAGTAAGAAACAGTGAATTATTATTTCTTCATTAGAAGTCAAATGTTATCAAAGTTATGTTATTTTAAAAAGAATTACCTTTTAAGGCGCAGGTGTTCTTTGAAGTTCTCCTTTCCTGATTCATAAAACTATTTTTTTAAATGAGCATTATAAATGTGAATACTTAGAATCCAGACTTGTGAAATGCAAGGTATCAACTCTGTGAGAATTCCAGCAAAAGCAAATTTAAATGATGAAAGGGAAAATAGAAACAATACCATGCTGGAAAAGGTATAAGAAGAAGACATTAATGCATAGCTGATTGAAATGATAAATCTGAAGAAAACTGTTAGCATGTATTGAAAACCAAGAGGCATTTCTTTAATCTAATTAAGTAATTTTAGCAACTGGGAATCTCTCCAGTTGAAATACAGAGAAAACAATAACTCTTTGTGTAAAGCTATATTTTCAAAAAACTTGACAATAGTCTAAATTGTCCACATATGTTTGAAGATATATTGTGCAGGCATTTATAATAATACTTACAAAGAGTTTGTGACAAGAAGAAATGCTCAGGCTATGGAGTATGGAGTATGGAGCTCAGGCTATAGAGTAATAAAAAAAAATTAGAAAAATATTCATGTTTGGTGTGGATGCCATAAGGAAGCAATTGTATGAAAAAAAATAATGAAGCTTGGGTTAGGTAGAAAAAAAGATATTTATGAAGTTCCACTTCCATATAATATGATAAGAATATTTGTTAACCACTGGAAAGTCCTTTTGTTCTTAAATTAATCAAATAAACAACAATCAGACAAATCTGGCTTTTACCACATAGAAATAGAAGAACTCTTTTTAGATGTGGCAAAGAAAAAATAAAGAATTAAAAAAATATATTGATAAACGCTGACCCTGACCACTTAAGGAGTGTGTGTAAATTAGTCAGTGTATGACTAACTAAATCTAGACACTCTTAAGAGCTAAAATGAGATTATATTTAATTCAGTTAACACCTCCATCTCATAAGCGAAGACTCAAGGTTGAGAGAAAATTGATTCCTCACACAGCTCTGTTGACCTAGCTCAGATGGGCACAGGCCCTCAGATGCCTGGGGCAGAGCTGGTTCCTCTCATACCACAGACCTACCACATTACAGCTTGTTGTTGAATCAAGTGCATTGATCTTGAAGGTTCACCAGGAGAATCCGAGGACAATAATAAGTGTTCTGCAGTTGATCAAAGGAATTTCTACGACAATTTTGAAATAAACCTAAGGGTGATAATTGATAATATTATATATGGTTACTTTTAACTGATAAGTGCTTTATCCTATAATATGTATTACATAAGCTAAAATTACACTTCATCTTACATATAGTGAACTGTAAATTAGAATTAAACACACTGAAATGTTTTAACTGAAAATTACATGTAACTAAAATTTAAAGTATTTTTTTTTTACTATGTGTATCAATGACACATTCAAATCACTTTTGAAAACACATGTCTCTTGGTTAACAGAAATTTTAAAATAAAATTTTAAATTCTAGGTAAAAAACCATTTGAGTTCAAAACTTGGTTTAGTTACTATAATTTTATTTTATTTTTATTCTTTTTTTTTTTTTTTAAAGATTTTATTTGTCAGAGAGAGAGAGAGGGAGGGAGAACACAAGCAGGCAGAGAGGCAGGCAGAGGCAGAGAGAGAAGCAGGCTCCCCACTGAACAAGGAGCCCGATGTAGGACTCGATCCCAGGACCCTGGGATCATGACCTGAGCCGAAGGCAGCGGCTTAACCAACTGAGCCACCGAGGCGTCCCTATTTTTATTCTTTTTAAAGATTTTATTTATTTACTTGACGGACAGAGATCATAAGTAGGCAGAGAGGCATGCCCAGAGAGAGGAAGGGAAGCAGGCTCCCTGCTGAGCAGAGAGCTCGATGTGAGGCTCGATTCCAGGACCCTGGGATCATGACCTGAGCTGAAGGCAGAGGTTTTAACCCACCTGAGCCACCCAGGTGCCCCCAGTTACTATAATTTTAATTACTCAAGTTCTCTGACTTCCATTTTCTTATTTATGAAATGAAAGGTGAAATTAAAAGAATATTAATACCTTCAGAAATTCTGTTATTCTAAAACCAATAATTGAGGAAAATACGGCAGGTAAGTGCGCTTAATACTTTGTATTACATGGATAACTTCTAAAATGTTTTAACTGTTTTTCTTTGAAAAGTCAGAGTGTATGGATAAAACTACTGTGTCATTTAAGAAACTGGAATGCCATTTGTTTTTGCAAATTTACTCATTTAGAGGACAACATATTTTTGACACTTGCTCACTCAGAAAACTTTCATGTTCCATAGGACAGATGAAAAGGCTATGAAACATTTTAACAAAGAGCATAGTTGACCCAGCTTTTCTTGGTGGGGGTTATATTTTAAACTAGCAAATAGGAAGATTTTTGTTGTGACTTGAATATTGTTCAGTTATAAATGTTGCTTATAATTTTATATGAACTTTAAATGATTATACATAGGAATGGTATATATAATCTTGCTGTAAATATGAAATATTATTTCAAATAATCTTTCTTTGTCAACATATATTAAGCATTTTTTTCAAATATGTAGAATAGCCTGCCTGTCAGCATCTTTCTCTTCCTCCATTCTTCCCTTCCTCCTTTTTCCCTCCTTCCTTCCTACCTTCCTTCCTTCCTTCCTTCCCTTGTTCCCTTCCTTCCCTTGTTACATTCTAAGCAGCAACAACCAGTCTTCAAGTAAACTCTTAGGGACAGTCCTATAGATAAAAGAAGAGAAAGAAGAGTTGTTTTGGTAAAAATGGGGATTAGAAACTGGAACTCTACAGGCTCTATTTTTCCAATGACTTGTAAAGTCTTCCCCAAAGAACAGGTTAACAAACACTGTTTTAAAGCATTCCATAAAATCTGTATGTAACAGATAATATTTATAGGGAGTTGAGGGTAACCTTGGAATTCCAAAGGCAACATTGTCATTTATAAAAATATCAAACTGACAAAGAGAGAAAAAAAGAAATTAAAGAAATATAGGAGTTTATTAATTGTATTTCTCTAAAACATATGCAAAGGAGAATGCAGAATTTAAAAAGCAAACCAGGAAAGAGAAGGAGATTTAGATATTTGCCAATTAAAGAAAGAGATAACTGCTTCATCCATGATTAAAATAAATTCTCACTATACATCAAATTGACTCAATTAAGTTATTTGAGAGAATGTACAAAACACTTGTTTTCCAGAAATTGTTTCTAGGTTTTATTTAAGGAACTGAGAAAAAGATACATGCATATAGAATATACATATCTCCACTTATTACCTAGACTTCCTTCAGGGTCATCGAATATGAGACAAATAAATTTACTTTTTTCTTTTCGAAGCTTGACATAGCCATGTTTCTACTGTTTCTGTTGTTAATGAAAACTTTAATTTATTATCATAATTTTCATTTTAATTAGTTTAATGTTTTGGACCAACTGGAATGAACAGCATCCAAGTATCATGAGATCTACCCTGACTGGGAAAAACGCTCAAGTGGTGGTCAGTACAGACATACTCACTCCAAATGGTCTCACTATTGACCACCGTGCAGAGAAGCTATATTTCTCAGATGGCAGCCTGGGAAAAATTGAAAGATGTGAATATGATGGATCCCAGAGACATGTAAGTTAACTGAGAATTTCTTGATTATAGATTTAAACAATCGTACTTTTAAAAAATATGCTTTGTACTTGTCTAAAATATGTATATAAAGGGATTTCAAAATATGTAATTGTTTGAACCAATCCAATTGAATATAAAGTGTAAGAGAAAACAGGATAATATTTTGAAAAATTTGTTCAAGTGCATTCGGTACCATAGAGATAGTCTAACTCTTACAGACTTTATTCTGGAGAAACAGTAACTGAGTTTTTCCTAACTATTAGTTGAACTGGAATTGTTAGAGTGATTTGCATAAGTTTCATTGTTATTTATATTTTTTAAAATGTGAAATGAAACTGACTTGCTGCCCTGGGATAAAAGAACATTGGAAAAGAAGAAAATAAGCCTCTGTCTGTGTTTGGGTTCGCAAAGCATCCTAAAAAGCTTTGAAGAGAGAAGAATGGGAATTTTTTCAGGGTCATGCATATTCTCTTTTCTCTGGGCTCCTCATAAAATGTTAATGCAACAGTCTTTATGCTGCCCCTGTAGAACCCTTACAGCAGGTATTTAGGGCCTATAGAATAATAAAAGTCCTGTGTGCCCACTTATCCTATGAGAACATCAGTCCTTAGCAACTGGGAAAGCTCAGAGATCAGGAGATTAAGATCTGGGTGGTAAAGCAACTGGGGAAATCTTTGCCCTTGCACCACCAGCCCAGTGCATGCCTGAAGGACAAAGTGATCCTGAGGCTCTTCACTCCTCCACTGCATTTCGTAAAGGGCCACATAGTAAGTCTTTGAAGCTTTATGGGCCATATTGTCTCTATCACACCTGCAATACCTTATAGTGCTAAAAGCAGACACAGGGAATATGTAAATGAATGGGTATGACAGTATTTCAGTAAAATTTGATTTACAGAAACAGGCAATCAACTAGCAGTCCCTAATTTGTTAATGCCTAGTCTATATCATTAAGCATACTATTTAATTCAATTGAATATATGCCTACAAATATATTTATATATATATATATATATATATATACACCTATATATTGTGTGTATGTGTATATAAATATGCATTGTATATTTATATATTATAGATATAGAAATAGATAATTATCCCTGGGCAACTAATTATATTTACACATCTATGTATATGTCCATATCTTTACACATAGATATTGATATGCATATGTGTGTGTGACAGAAACAGAGAGAGATAGAGAATTCTTGAAGAAATACATTGATTTACATTTTAGCACAGGTACCTCATCTTATTATGGAGTGACTACCTTGAGTAGTACTATTACAGGACAGTTGAGTGCTTAAGGAATATGGAAATAATGAGCTAAGACCGGATGAGTTTAGTTTGTGTTAAAGGCAATAACTGTGATGAAAATCTTGGTCTATCTTTTCTAATTAAAAGCCATGTGAGGTAATAAACAAAGTATACAAAGAACTCACACAACTCAACAGAAAAAAACAAAAACAAAAAAAACCCACAACCCACCACCACCACCACCAACAAAAAAACCCAATCCCACCCCCCAAAAACCCCAAAACAGTCTGATTTAAAAATGGGCAGAAGAACGGAATGAACATTTTTTCAGATTGTCAACAGACACATGAAAGGATGCTCAACATTATTCATCAGGGAAATATAAATCAAAACCACAATGATCAGGGTGCCTGAGTGGCTCAGTCAGTTAAGCATCTGCCTTTGGTTCAGGTCATGACCCCCAGGTCCTGGATTGAGAACCACATTGGACTCCCTGCTCGGTGAGGACCCTGCTTCTCTCTGCCGCCCTTGCTTGTGCTCTCTCTCTTAAGATCTAAATAAATAAATTAATTAATTAATTAAATCTTTTAAAAAAGAGGTATCACCTTTTACCTTTTAGAATGGCTAGCATCAAAAGGATAAGAAATGAGTGTTGGCAAGGATGTAGAGAAAAGGGAGCACTATGGACTGATGGTGACAATGTAAATTTTCACCACTATGGAAAACAGTATGGAATTTCTCAAAAAATTAAAAACAGAAATACCATATAATGCAGCCATTCCACTTCTAAGTAAACCAAGAAAACAAAAATAAACATTTGAAAAGATATAGCCAGTCCTCTGATGATTGTAGCATTATATATGATAACTGAAATGTAGAAGAAATCCATGTGTCCATCAATAGCCAAATGAATAAAGAAAATATAGTATATTTATATAATAGGATATTATTCAACCATAAAAAAGAATTATATTTTGCCATTTGTGACAATGTGGGTAGACCTTGAGGCATTCTAAGTGAAATAAGTTAGAAAAAGACAAATATCTTATGACCTCCTTTAGATGTAGAATCATAAAAAGCAAACAAGTAAACGAACAGCTCATAGATCCAGAGAACACATTGGTAGTTAAAAGAGGTGGTGGGAGTGGGAGAAATGGGTATTTTTTTTTCCTTAGCTTAAATAAATTAAATGCTTTTTAATAAAATAAAATGATAGTTATTAGATGAAAATTAACCATCATCAGTAAAAAAATAGTAAAATAAAAATAAAGGCCAATCATTCAATCTTCATAAATTTTAGTTTTCTATTATATTATGCAAATTCTGTACCTAACTTTCAAGGTTATTATGACAACATAGTACAAAAGTATGTGCCCAAGAATATAGCAAAGAGACTCCAAATGAAGGTATTGGATAATGTTTTTAAAATGTCAGTCAGGAAAATCATTGTCCTGGATGTGGTACTACTTTCCACTAGGGACTAATACAGGAAATGCTTCTATAGTGCCTTATAGCAATGTTTTATCCACCTCAATTTATTTTTTTTTATATACCTGCTTTGCTTTTACCCCTACAGTATAGTTTTATGTAAGGCAATTATAGCTACTCTAAGTGGTTCAGTCATTAGATCTCTAACATAACTTAAAAGATTTCTTTTGACACTTAGAAAAATATATGCCTAGCTAAGATTTCAACTCTCCATTTTGCATCCTTGTCTAAACAAGGATACTTTCTGGCTGGCTATAGTGAACAGTATTGTATTGTATTTTTGAAATTTCTGAAAGAGTAGATTTTAAATATTCTCACCAACACCACCACCACACACACACACACACACACACACACACAAATTCTAACTATGTGAGGTTATGGAAGCATTAACAAACCTTATTGTGGTAATCATTTTGCAGTATATACAATATCAAATCATCATGTTGTACACTTTAAGCTTATACATGTTATATGTGAAGTATATTTCAATAAAATTGGGGGGGGAAAATATTTCTGTCCTGTAGAGAGGCAAATGTTGAGGAGAACATTACTTTAAAGGTTATGATTTTATCCCCCCACATGACACTAACCAATTTTGTCTCAAACTTAGAATTACATGTTACTCTTCCTCTACTTTTATCATCAAAAAAAAATCTGATTTGGCCCAAAAACTTGGAAAATATTTCAAAATTTATTACATTTTTACATCCATCTAGATTTCCTTATCTTTATCTTCATTGCAAAGGAGCAAATCTGTGTCCTATTCATCTGGCTTTTAATAAATATGCATGTGGATAGTTGAATTATAGAAACCATAGGACCATATAAATAATACAACGAAGATTTCAAAGTTATATAATCTCTAGTAGATTCTGCTTCATTCTGTCTTTGAGAAAAATTAATTCTGCAGAGTTCCATTTTAACTAATAGCAATTTTTTTATTTAGTATAATGCACATTGAATACTGCAGAGATTTTTCTGTTACCTAAAGACATAGGATAGAGAAAATGTGTTAACTTTTGATTATAAATACAATCAAATATTGACATAAAACTGTTTTCATTTGTGTCTTCTCTCTGTTTTTATTTTTTTTAATTGAAGTGTAATTGACATAAAATGTTACATGAATTTTAGGTGTACAACATTGTGATTCAACATTTATAGACATTACAAAGTGATCAGACATTTAGTCTAGGTGCCATCTGTCACCATATAAAATTATTACATTATTGACTGTATTCCCAATGCTGTGCTTTTAATCCCTGTGACTTATTTTATAACTGGAAGTTTGTACCTCTTAATCCCCTTCATCTATTTTGCCCAACCCCCCAACTCCTTTACCTTTGGCAACTAGCAGTTTGCTTCTGTATCTATGAGTCTGCTTATGTTTTGTCAGTTTATTTTGTATTTTTGGTTCCACGAGTAAATGAGATCATACAGCATTTGACTTTCTCTGACTTATTTCTTGTTGCATAATACCCTCTAAATCCATCTGTGTTTTCACAAAAGGCAAGAGTTCATTCTTTTTTAATATTCCAATATATATGTATTTTATGTATTTTACGTGGTCTCTTAGTCATTCATCTGTTGATGGGCACTTGGGTTGCTCACACATCTTGGCTATTGTAAATAATGCCGTAATGAACGTATGAACGTATCTTTTCAAATTAGAGTTTTTGTTTTCTTTGGATAAATACCCAGAAGTGGAACTACGGAATTATATGACACTTCTATTTTTAGTTTTCTAAGGAACTTCCATACTGTTTTCCACAGTGGCTGCACAATTTACATTCCCACCATCAGCAGATGACCATTCCCATTTCTCCATATCCTTGCCAACATTTGTTATTTCTTGTTTTTTTTGATACTAGCAATTCTGGTAGGGATAAGCTGATAAGTCATTATGGTTTTTATTTGCATTTCCCTGATAATTCGTGATGTTGGGCATCTTTTCATGTATGTGTTGGCCGTCTGTATGTTCTTCAGAAAAATCTCTATTCAGGTCCTCTTGCTCATTTTTAATTAAATTGAATATTTCATTAAGAATTTGTGCATGTATGTTTATGAAGGAAGAATATTGGTCTGTAATTTTTTTTTTCAATGCCTTTATCTGGTTTTGATATTAGGGTAATGCTGGCCTTATAGAATAAATTTGGAAGCATCCTCTTCTCTTTAACTTTTTGGAATAGTTTGAGAAGAATAGGTATTATTTTTTCTTCATATGTTTAGTAAAATTGTTTTTTGGGAGGT